CACAGATCACCATAACACATATAATTATAATGAAAAAAATTTGAAATATTGAGGGAATTACCGAAATGTGACACAGAGACACAAAGTGAGCAAATACTGTTGGAAAAGTGGCACCAAAGACTTGCTTGATACAGGGTGGCCGCAAAACCTTCAATTCATTAAAAAAAAATGCATTATCTGTGAAGCATAATGGAGTGAAGCACAACAAAGTGGGATATCCCTGTACTGTTTGAATTCCCATTGTATATATGTGGAAACTGAGGCACAGAATAAAGGAAGTACCTCATCCAAGGTTCAGATCTAGTCAGTGTTTGGAGTCAAACCTAGGTAATCTGGTTTTAGTACCTATGCTGTTAAATATTAAGCTATATTGTCTTTTCAGATCCTATTTTCTTCATACAGAGGCTGAATTCCTGCTATTATGTGGCTTTCAAAATAGTTATTCCCAGGAGACAGGGAGATGAAACGTGTTTCTGAGATTCCTAGGATCCTGCCTTAGTGCTTAAAGCACTGCTGTACATCACCAACATGGCTTGATGTGGTTTTTGAGGGTCCTACTGGGAATCCAATTTTTGTTCACAATATTGTTGCCGTGGAAAAATGCATTCAATATTCTAGAGGATAGATTTACACGAGGATGTTTTTCACTAGTACTTACAGTAGTGGAAGAGTTGTAGTAATTTTCCTCACTCTTAAAGGAAATCAATGTGCTTAACATCTCTTTTTGTGTTCTTAAAATGTTTAGCATGAGATGGAGAGGGGAATTGGAAAATTGGTTGGGTTTTCTTTTTTGAAAGAAGAAAACAACGTAATTAGTGGGAAATTTACCCATAATCTTGATCTTCAAAATCTTCCGCCCTTTCATTCCATTAAGATTGCCTTTTTTTTAAAGGAAGGAAAAAAATGCATAAATAGCGAGGCTACTAAATTCTCTTTAATGACTGAAACTAATAAGAAATGGCTCTGGTATTTCATCCAGCCTCTTAAATAATGGCTCTGTTGTTTTGATCTCAGAAGTGTAAGGGAAGCTTTAATTTCAGAGATGGGCGCCCCTGTCTCAAGCACCTGAGAGACTGCATTATATATTTGAAAACCATTTTACAATGTCCCTTCCCAGAGTGTGAGGCCATTGATGCTTTGATGTGGTTAAGTAATTTCGTACAATCAGGTAATAGATTAAATCAGATTTCAGCTTCCTTGACATTTCTGAAGAATGCACATGAAATGAGTGCATCCCTAATCTTGCAGCATTTCCCATTTTTCTGCTTTTATTTTTCCACAGCAAAATGCTGGTAGAGCAAGCAGCAAAGAGTCCCTCCCTTTAATTCTGAGTAGAAGAGAAAGAGAAATTGCTGAATTTTGTTCTGATGTATCCATGCCTGAGTGGAAGAAGAAATGATGGGGGAAGACAGAGGGAGACCTTTTTTCTAAAACATAGAGGAAGAAGCTGTTGTATTTATTTTTTTAAATTTTATTTTATTATGTTATGATATGAGGAATTCTTAATCTCAGGAACTTCTTTATTTTTCATAATCTATGGGGTATATATTAGTGGTGGGGGGGAAGAAGAAATATTTTGCAAGAGATTTATAAATAGGTAGATCTGAGTTTTAATCTTGATTCTATAATTTCTTTGTTTTCTTACTTAATCTTCCTGAGCATGTTCTCTAATCTGTAACAGCGGAATCACAATATTAAAGCTGAACCCTTAGTGTGGGATTAAATGAGATGTTGCAGATAAAAAGTCAGTCAGAATACCTGGCAGAGTCAATGCTCAACAAATGATTGTTCCTCTCCTCTGATTCCAAGTTAGTCAGTTAACAAATATGTATTGAGTTTTTATTTTGAAACATATACTGTATTGGGTCCTAGATACCTAGATACTGCATTGAATAAAACATATACTATCCACTTGACATCTCTCGTGGGAGAGTTTAACATCATTCAAACTTCGAAAGTTCCAAAATGGACTCATTATCTTCCCTTCTGCCAGCATCCCCGAGCTCAGCACAGGGCACCCTCTTCACCTGGCTGTCCACAAAAAGAAAACTAGGAATCACTCATGAAATCTGCCTCTCCTTCAGTCCTGACAACTAATTCATCATCAAGTCCTGTCAGTTTTTTTCTAAAATATTTTCAGATCCTTTAATTTCAGAAAAACATCTCCAATGTCAGTCTTGTTAGCCATGCCCAAACAATCTTTCCCTTTCTCCCGAATCAGATGAACACTCCTGTCATCTTTTCCCTGCATTCCCCATGGAACTTCTCCACCTTGTCTTTATGGAGAGTGCTTTTATAAATGCAAGTCTTATCATGTTACTTCCCTGATCAAACACCTTTAATGATTTCCTCTTGCTTTTATGAAAAAAGACAAAAGCTGTTTTGTTTATCACCTAAGCATGAATGCATTGCACATAGTCCTTTTAAAAAAATTGTACATTTAAATTTAATTAATTAACATATAGTGTATTATTAGTTGCAGAGGTAGAGTTTAGTGATTCATCAGTTGCATGTAACACCTAGTGCTCATTACTTCAAGTGCCCTCCTTTATGCCCATCACTCAGTTACCCCATCTCCCCACCGACCTCCCCTCCAGCAACTCAGTTTGTTTCCTAGAGTTGAGTTTCTTGTGCTTTGTCTCCCTCTCTGATTTTGTCTGATTTTATTCTTAACTCAATAAACATTTTTGAATACATGACTTTTTTAACATTATGGTCTGGTTGCTCTGCATAGGATGAAGTGGAGAAAATAAGAGAGCAATGGTTAGACTATATTAACAACTAAGAACATTAAGGCATGAAGAGTTGAGGATATTCCAGGAAGGGGGAACATCGTGGGCAAAGGATGGAGTATAGGTAACAGAGATAAGCAAAATGGAAAAAGAAATTTGAAGAAATAGTGTAGGACTCTGAAAATTGTACTGGGGCTGATATATAAATAGCTTTTTAAGCATCTTTAGAGTGATGACTATCAATGTCTTAGTTGCATACCACTTAAACAAATATTTCAACTTTTTTTTTAAAGATTTTATTTATTTGAGAAAGAGAGAATTCTCATTCTCATAGAGAGCACGAGAGGGAAGAGGGTCAGAGGGAGAAGCAGACTCCCTGCTGAGCAGGGAGCCCGATGTGGGACTTGATCCCAGGACTCCAGGATCATGACCTGAGCCGAAGGCAGTCGCTTAACCAACTGAGCCACCCAGGCGCCCCAAATATTTCAACTTTTTGACTGTCCAAGATTTGAATGCTAAGAAACAATCTGAGAGGAATGTACAAAAATAAATTATTATTTAACTTCTAGTGAGAAATATGAACTTGTATGCATGTTATAAAATTATAGCACAACGTCCAATGACCTCAAGGTAACTCAATAATTAAATTACATTAAGCTTCGTTAGTTGTTTTCTATTTGTATAGGGGAATGAGAAATACATTGGTTTAATATCATATCTATTATATCAGGCACATAGTAAATGTTTAATAATGATTTACGATTATTTATCTTAGGGATTCCTAAAAATTTCTAATAAAAAACCTTAAGTCAAACAAATGACTGGTCAGTGTCAGGACCCTTTGGCCATATAACTTAATGTAGATGGAAATCATTAAGGATAAGTAAATATTCATAGGAAACCATGAAACATATACTATAAAGGCCAACAGTCTAAGTAAAATCAGCCTGTCCTTGGAAATGGAGAACCCAGTGGATTGACCAGGAGTGTGTTAGAGAGACAGAAATTTCACAGGTTTGGTGACTGTTAACAAATTGATTTCCCCTTCTATTTCTCCTGGCATTCCTGCAAAACGGAGTTAAAATCATTATTTTGGGATTCTTATTCAACACAAATAAGGACATTCCTGAATAATTTAATATACAAATGTAGAAAGATATATTTGAGTGTTTTCAACAATGGGATTTAGGGATATAATCTAGGATGTGCAGTGATGATGAGTTTCAATGTATTTTTCAAATACACTGCTGGTTATCTTACAGTGGAAACATTTATGATCTATGCATTTTATTGGAATGCCATTAAATTTTCTAAATGCCTCTCTCTTAGCCTGAGGGACTAGAGTTGTCCTGATTGGTAGGCCTACTGCTATTGAAGGAAGTTTCTCAGTCAAAGCTGAAAATTTTGGCAGCTGAGCACATGTAGGGTAGATTTGAACAGGTAGTGGGTGTAATAAGTAAAAGAAGTCCCTGTGTACTTGGAAACTGGAATATGATTCCAAGATTGGGAGAACTGTAGAGACCAAGGAAGACCAGAAGTTTGAGAACATGTAAGGGATTATTACTGATATTTTTGTGGAGGAGACATTAGAGTCTTTGTTGGCCTTCATGGATCTATTTCAGCTTGGTACCTGGGAAGGTAGGCTACGTTTAATGGTCTAAGCATGAAATGGACACAATAGCCATTATTCTTATTTAAAGATTGTCCATTCTGCTATTCTTTACCATTGCTAAAAACTAAATTGCAATCTGTAAGCCGCATTGTGCCTCTTTCTTTTCATTTTTCCTTCATGATGAAATTAACATATTTGCATTTAAAAACTTTGCTATCACCTATGCATTGTGTTTATTTAAAAACAAACAAATAAACAAAAATAAGGATTAGCCTCAAATCCCAACTGGCTGTGGAAAGCAAAGTCATTATGAACGCTTGTGAATAATGCCTTATGCATGAAAGCCTCTAATTGGGATATTAGATAGCAAAATTCTTCTACTCTTGTAAGAAAATAAGTCCAGTGTGGGATGGTTTTGAATGATTTAATGCAAATTAGCTACTGAAATCAGAGTGGGTGGTACCACAATCTGGCAGCATAGGTAGAACAATAGTTCCCAAACCTGGTTAAGCATTAGAATCACCAGTGAACTTATTAAAATGAAGATGTCAGACCCAATTAACTGAATTAGTGTCCCTTGGAGTGAGTGACTCCTAAATTTGTAGTTTGAATTTTAATCGTATATTTTCTCTTATTTTTTTATTTTTTTATTATTTTTTTTTAACATGGATAGCTTTTATTCACCTACTCAAATTCCTTTACACATGTGTATGTGCATTCCACCTTGTCCCCTCTCCCACTCACAAGGCCAGGATGAATCCTCTTGGCACAGAGGAAGGGGTGCCCCTTCAACTAAGGCCACAGCCCAGATGCTCTGGGGGATCCCCTACCATGGAAAAAGCAGGAAGAGAACAAAGAGAGTTTATCACACCAGAGCCCCCCCACAGGGGGAGGGAATCCGGAGAGCTGGGGAGTGCCCCCATGCTACTGCCCCAGTCCTTAAATACAAAGCAAGGGGAGTGAAGAGGACCATCCCTTGGAAATACAGCACCAACCTCAGCACAGAGGCAAAAGGACAGTGGCCAAGACCACTTCCCTCTGAGGGGGGCAGGCTGAATGAGAGCACAGACGGTTAGCGGCTGCGGCACCCCTCCCTACCAGGGTTTGGGTGGGGACTCCAGCACCAGGAGTGGGGAGAGGGGAGGAGAAGGGATGACTACACGGCGCCATCCACTCTACCGGAGCCCCCTGGCCCCAGCACAGGCTTTCCTCTCCCCACTAGCCCAGGTCCAGGGATGTGGAAGAAACCATGGGAATCCAAGGCCCCTATCTATTTCTTCTTGTGTTCCTGGGAGCAGCGTGGGCAGAACCACTTCCCCCGAGGCTTGGTCGTCAGCCCCACACAGGCAAAGTGGAACCACTCGATGGAACAATCAGGGTTGTCACAGCCAATCATCTCTCCATAGGAGACCTGGTGACAAAGGCAATAGGTGGGTTCGTTGGGATCCACAGGCATATCCAACACATCAGAGGGGTGGACACTGCCAAAGGTCACTGAGGGCATCCCATACTCAGGACTTGTGCGCACAAGTTTCAACTTCTTTTGGGCAGCTTTGGGAGCTTCTTCATCTGAGTTTTTCCCTTTGGAACGAGCACGGGCAGCTTTCTTCTCCTTTTGAGTCCGGCCTTCTAGGAAAGAGGGGGAAAGCCAGAAGGCAGGGAGACAGAAAGATGGGTTAAGTCTTCCTGCTCGAGCCCCTCCCCTAGCCGTAGCGGAAGTGTGGCCGCTTCTCCCTCCGCAACCCCGCCCCCTCTCTAGCCCCGCCCCCCTCCTCACTCTTTTTGCCTTTGCTGGAAGAGCTGTCATAGTCACTGGACTCAATCTGCTTCTCCTTCAAATCAGCCTCAAAACGGGCCAGGTCTGTGTCCAGTCGCCGAATGTGTTTGTCCACCATCTCATAGGTCTGCATGGCAAGCTGCACCTTGTCGTCACCAAATTCCTTGCACTTGCCATAGGCTTCCTGGATCTGCTTGAGAAGGTCCAATTTTTCCTCGGAGCTCAGGCTGCGGGCACTACTCATATACTCAGTGGCCAACTTGTCAATTTCAGCCTTCAGGTCCTCTGTTCTTTGGTCCAGGTCCCTCATGAGCTGAAAGTTTCTCTGCAGTTCGAAGGGGAGATTTTCAATACTGTCCAGATAATGTTCCAAATACATCCCCGCAGCCATCTTGAAGCAAAACCTCTTATTTTTTTTTATTTTTTAAGTAGTCTCCATGCTGGGCATGAGTTCAATGTGGGTCTTGAACTCAATATCTCCAAGATCAAGACCTGAATTGAGATCAAGAGTTAGACGCACAACTGACTGAGCCACCCAGGTGCCCCTAAATTTTCTTCATACTTTAATCTGAAGCACAGAAAAGTTTAGGAACTATTGGGATAGTGCACTGGAATGATTTCTCTCTATCAGAGTTTATCCAAGTGTGGCCGGTAGCCCAGTTGCCACTGAGTCTTGGAATGGTAGGGTGAGAGTAAAAGTCAGGAAAGAATACACATTAAAATTTAGATTCCTGGGATTCACTCAAATTTGCTGAATCTTCATTTCTAATGAATGCCTCACGTGATTTTTTTCATTAAAACTTATTATTTTTAGAGCAGTTTTAGGTTTACAGCAAAATTGAGATGAAGGTGAGAGATTTCCCATATACCTCCTCCCCACATACATGTACAGCTTCTCCCATTATCAACATACCCCACCAGAGTGGTACATTTATTACAATGAATGAATCTATATTGATACATCATTATCTCCCAAACTTCATAATTAACCTTAGAGTTCACTCTTGTTGTTGTACATTCTGAGGGTTTGGACAAATATATAATGACATGTATCCACTATTAGGGTATCATCCAGAGTATTTTCACTGCCCTAAAAGTCCTCTCTGCTATACCTTTTCATCCCTCCCCACTCTTCCAACCCCTGGTAATCACTCATCTTTTTATTTTCTCCATTGTTTTGTTTTTTCTAGAATGTTATATAGTTGGAATCATACAATATGTGGTCTTTTCAGATTGGCATGTTTCACGTAGTGATATACAATTAAGTTTCTGCTATATCTTTTCATAGCTTGATAGCTCATTTCTTTTTTGAACTGAAAAATATTCCATTAGTCTGGGTGTGCCACAGTTGATTTTTTCTTTCACCTAATGAAGGTCACGTTGCCTGATCCAAGTTTTGAAAATTATGAATAAAGCTGTTCAGGTTTTTGTGTGGATATAAGTTTCAACTCTTTTGAATAAATACCAAAGAACATGATTGCTATATTTATGGTAAGAGTATATTTAGTTTTGTAAGAAACTTCCAAACTATCTTCCAAAGTGGCTATATCATTTTGCATTTTCACCAGCAATAAATGAGTGTTCCTATTGCTCTACATCCTCATCAGCATTTGTTGTTGTCAGTATTCTGGATTTTGGCTATTCTAATAGGTGTGTAGTGATACATTTTGTTGCTTTAATTTGCATTTTTTTGATGAAATATGATGTGGAACATCTTTTCATATGCTTAATTTGCCATCTGTGTATCTTCTTTGGTGAGGTGTCTGTTGAGGTCTTTGATCCATTTTTTAATTAGGTTGTTTGTTTTGTTATTGTTGAGTTTTAAGAGTTCTTTCTATATCTTGGACAGTCCTTTATCAGATATGTTTTTTGTATTTTTCCCAGTTTGTGACTTGTCTTATTCTCTTGATCAAATGATTCTTACTCCAAAATAGTTTGAGAATTGCTATTGTATATTCCCCTATGAATGGATCATAAATGGAAGAGATTCACATTATTTGAATTGGCCCTAACAATCAATGTAGTGGGAAATGTTTGAAACAAATGGGGAAGGAAACTAGTTATACTGGGAACCTACTGAATCCTAGGCAAGATACTTGGCAATTTATCAATATAATCTGATTTTTTCCCTTGATAAGTATGTTATTAAACAGGTATTAGGATACTTAATTAAAGAGGGCCTTATTTTTTTTATTTTTTATTGTTATGTTAATCACCATACATTACATCATTAGTTTTTGATGTAGTGTTCCATGATTCATTGTTTGTGCATAACACCCAGTGCTCCATGCAGAACGTGCCCTCTTTAATACCCATCACCAGGCTAACCCATCCCCCCAGCCCCCACCCCTCTGAAACCCTCAGTTTGTTTTTCAGAGTCCATCATCTCTCATGGTTCGTCTCCCCCTCCAATTTCCCCCCCTTCATTCTTCCCCTCCAGCTATCTTCTTCTTTTTTTTTTCCTTAACATATATCGCATTATTTGTTTCAGAGGTACAGATCTGTGATTCAACAGTCTTACACAATTCACAGCGCTCACCATAGCACATACCCTCCCCAGTGTCTATCACCAGCCACCCCATCCCTCCCACCCCCCCACTCCAGCAACCCTCAGTTTGTTTCTTGAGATTAAGAATTCCTCATATCAGTGAGGTCATATGATACATGTCTTTCTCTGACTGACTTATTTCGCTCAGCATAACACCCTCCAGTTCTATCTACATCGTTGCAAATGGCAAGATCTCATTCCTTTTGATGGCTACATAATATTCCATTATATATATATATATACATATATATATATATATATACCACGTCTTCTTTATCCATTCATCTGTTGATGGACATCTTGGCTCTTTCCACAGTTTGGCTATTGTGGACATTGCTGCTATAAACATCGGGGTGCACGTACCCCTTCAGATCCCTACATTTGTGTCTTTGGGGTAAATAAAAGAGGACCTTATTTGAAGTTCCAGAGTTAAAAGAAGTAGGAACAATATAGAAATTTGGGTCTAATCAACATTTAACCTTATGCTTGACTATATCTTCACCAAATTGCCAATAAATCTATACTGAGTTATGTGTAAGTCAGGAGAACTAAACTTTAATTCCCACTCTGATAGTATCTGTCTCTGTGATGTCAGCTTTGTTTCTGGTCCTGTTTACTCACTCTTTATAGCTTAAGTGTCATGTAAAGATATGGCTCTATTTTCTATAATGGTGTTCCTTCTTGAATATCTAGTAGTAGACACCGGACCACAGAAAGAATGTCCATGGGAACTAAGCCTGACATCTGAGGGTCACATATTCTCTTGTCTTCTAAGTAACTGTCTGAAGTCAATATTTAAATGTTTTTAAAAAAGAATTCTTAAGAAAGAATTCTATTATTTTTCATATGTATGGGCAGCCTGAGACAAAAATCCAGTGTGTTAAAGATGTATTGGCATTATTTATTTACTTATATAATTTAGAATGCTCCCAGTCACCTGCCCTCAAATTAAGGCCATATATATTAACACCAGAAGAATCTCAAGAGACTTATTCAACAAAACTAGAAGAATAAAAAATGGTCTCACATTTGCTATGGCTATTTGCCTTCTACATTCCCGGATAAATGATGTCTAACCTCTGGGACCCTCTGAGTACCAGTAAAGGTTAAGGGCCTTTTTTTTTTCTAGATGTCTCTTCTATTTATAATGCAGGCTGCCTCATTCTGGAACTAAATCCTGTGGGAAACATTAGCAGTGGCATCCAGGCAGCCGGAAGATTTCTGGTGGCTCTTTAAGTCACCCATACCTGTGCCCACACTATCCTCACAGGCCAGTGGGTGAGCTATGACATGGGACGCATGCTTGCACGTCCTTCTCTGTGACTAGACTTTTCTAAATGATTTCCTCTGGCCCCGACTCATGTTGCATCAGAATGAGTTCTGTGGCCCCTCTAGACTTAGCATTCATACCCCAGGTTTTCTCCAGGTCCTTGGCTTGACTTATGTGTTCATCTCCTTCTATCCAGTGGACTTAGCAGTGACTCCATAGGATGCTGTCCATGGCCAGCATTCAGCACTCAACAGTTAGGTGGTGACTGGCGTTGTTAGTCCACAGCTCCTTCACCACTGCAGGATAAGATGAACAGGGTTTTAATGAAGATTAGAGTGACCACACACTGGTTTGCCAGTAAACATCCTTGTTTACTTCCTTATCCCAGTATAATTAGTAATAATTTTCTCTTTCTCTTACAAAATGGCCCAGGTTTGAATGATTCAATTATATTGTCAGTGCATGTATAATGTTCTCTATCCCATGGAAATGGTTCTATAGTGTCACACCCAAAAGACACAGAATTACACACCAAATAAAAGCTGCCTTTGATGAATTTTCATGTATTGTGGAGCTTTTCAAAACAGAACTGCTCCTAGCACAGTCACTGGTGCACCATAGGCATAAATAAATGGAAGTTTCATATTATCAATTCTGGTCATTTGTCACATAATCTGGGTTAGTGTGGATAGTAAATGCACAGAGAATCAGCCCAGCAAAGCATTTGCACACCTCACAGGACATGTCAACCTTTATGTTAAAGGGGATCTCAGGACATACTTTCCATTTTGAATTGAAATTCTAAACTTCTCTGACCAGCTCTTCCTTTCCATTTTCTATTGCCTGATTGCCTTACTTACCAGTTCTGCAACTCATTTTTGGATAAAGAGAAGTGTTAAAATGATAGAAGATACTGTTGCAGAAAAGAAAGAACTGAGAGGTCTGGATATAATTAAGTGTTTGTAGCTGAAACAATCCAAGGTAAAGGAGGAAAGATAGCACATAAGAAACAAGGTCTACAGGGGTTTTACAAGTGACCATGATTTTATTCAAAAAGAAGGGGGATTCGGGATCAGAGGATGGGAAAGATTGGGGTGGGAAGCTCTAAAAGTCCTTTTTAATTATTTGTTTTACCATTTCTGGCCACAGTGAAGACCTCTGTGTTTCAGATGATGTAGGAAAAGTGCTCTCCCCTTCTGGGCCCAAAGAAAGCATGTACTCTCTGAGGCAGCCAGATTCCAGGTCTTGGAATGAATGGGAAGCCTTGGAGCAATCACATGTCCTCTGCTAGGAATGCATTCCTGGGGATTTGTGGTCTCCCCATCTGGGCTGCAGGTGATGGAGTGGCATTAAATCAGGGAGGGGGAAAAGGCTCACGAGGGGATCTGAGACCCTGGGCTGCACAGGAGCTTTAGCTGGATTAACACGAAGGCCGCAGTCATGGCCAGGCAGATGGATTTTCAACTCCCAAAAGCAGCACAATTGGGTATGATGCTGGGGGCATGTGAAAGGGGGTTAAATTATCATAGAGGAGCACCTGAGTTTGGAAGCGAAGAACACAAAACTTAAGCAGCAAAGGT